GAATATATAGCTAAATATACAGCTCTTGAAATATTTTTAAGTTACATCTACATAGGTGAACTATTCATGAAATATTACCTTTAAAGATCACCATCTATGGTAGGTAACTGCCATCTGCCGCAACACCCTGTACTACGGTGAATTGCCGTTTCTCAAGCCCAGTTGAAATGATCTCCATGTCTTTTGCCCCTTTAGTGTTGATAGTCTTCTGTGGGAGCAGGTTGAAGGTCATTGGCACCTTGTCCATATTTATAGTGTACTTTGGATCAAAGTCTCCATCTTCCTTTACTTCCCCGAGGTGATTGTAGAAAACATTCAACCTAAATTCCAAGTCTGTTGGGAGCCACTGACTTACAGTCGTGTCTGGTCATGAAGCAGGCCGCCCACCCTCTAGAAGCCTTGAAGTCAGTTGTCGATGCTAATTCACGCACTCAGTGACATAGTCTCAAGAGACAGGGTTTAACCCTGAGGCTATGGTGTTTCTATCACTTGCGAGGTTCGTAAGGCTTTGGTGCCATGCACCTTTGCTGGAGATGGACCCAAAACAAAACAACGAAAATGGTTAAACTGATCATTTATTATGCAGGTTAAAAGCGGCCTGAGCGTCGGCCTTACAGTTGCTCACTGATCTACAGACTCTATCAGCTTCCTCTCTCTCTTCTCTGTCTCACCCAGCAATGAGACGACCTTTATACTTGATGGGGGAAGAGCTTGTTAAAGTTTCATTAGACTTCGATACGTTTGATGTCGCTTTGATACGTTTGATGTTGCTTTGATACCTTTGATGTGGTAAGGACTACCATACTATTGGCGACTGCACCATTATTCAGAATTCAGCTCATCACAAGCAGGCATAACAAGCAGTTCATATAGTGTCCAAATTTTTTAGAAGTTAAAAGTTTCAGTAAGCTCCTTCTTAAATATACTGTTCTGGGTGAAAACATATACTGAAATCTTAAATCACAGGAATATTTTAAACTTTTAGTGATGATTTTATTAGTAGTAAAAACTAATGCCGCATTCACATCGAGCTGAGCCATGGTTCATATGGCGGACGCACCTGAAAGGAAAACTGCCTAATCTTTTAATAGTCTCTCCGCCTCTCACATGCCTCCCCAGCTTCCTGGCGAATAGAGACGAGATTTAATGACTGTACCCCTGCAAATTAGGCGGTTTTCCTTTCATGTACGTCCGCCATATTTAGGTTGTGGCTTTATAGAGCCATGGCTCAACTCGATGTGAATGCGGCCTAAGTAATGATATTAGGCTGCCCAAGTCCACTGCGCAAGTCCACTGTACCTGAGAATTTAAAAAGGTCTGGCTATGTCCCCTGTAAACATTTAGTTATTCATAAGCGATTATCAAATAGCAGAAATTAAGTGTATGTTTCAACTCCGGAATAACATAATGCAAGTCTTTGTAACGCGAGCGAGCCTTTATCCATTTTCTCTGTAATTTCTATTTCATTATTTATCAAGCATATTTAAGTAATCCCAGAATGCCTTGCACAAGACATCTGTCTAGCATAGGAGCATGCAATGGCGCATATAGATCATTGATGTAGCTGTCTGCAATAAAGTTGAATATAGTGCTCAGCAAGTTAAGGAATGATAATAAACAGTAAGTAATTTATGTGTACTGATGCTTTCATAATTTCTAAATAACAATGGTGGTTTTAAAACTGGCCTGCAGCTGCCGACGGGCAGGTTGAGTCCTCCAATCGTCTCATTCAAAAACAGCACAAATAAGTGATAACAATCTCTCCTGTCAAGTGGCAGTTCCATTGTTTTGAACAGTGGTCTGAAAACTCACTTTGATGAATCATGGGGTGTGTTTTAATTGGGCACACTTCCTTGCGTTTGGAAAATTTGAATTGTGCCCAAGGTGAGTCCAGCGATCGTTCGTACAGAATGGAGACAAAAAATTCAGATTCAGAGAAAAAAATGTTTAGTTCGTAATTATTGCAAATTATTACGAATTGGTAATTATTGTGCCATTTGTATAGATTGAAGTATTACCGTATGTGCTTTATATAAAATAGGTATATATGAAGTGAGCTTAATATTACTTGAGAGTGGTGTACCATGCACTGCAGAACCCTGTACTTCATGTGTCCCCTATTCAGAGTGGTATCATGCATTTTTGGTACATAAGTCAGTATTCAAAAAGTCCACAGGCAATGATCTCTTTTGTGAAATAGATCGAATGCAATGAAATTCGCTTGATCACTACAAAAATAGCTAACAATAGTCTTGTTTAATTCTAAAGTATCGCCGTCTGATCTAATAACTATGACGTCTAATTGTGTTTTTAATTTTTGTATAAACCGCTGCCCTTAGTTTTTGACATGTTTTGCAGTTTGGAGCAGCCTTAATTTGCAGGTTGGTGAAATTCACCTGTTCCATATGCATTTTCTTTGCATTTTTTAATGTGTCCATTTGTTGGAACTTTTGTCTGAGCTGGGCATGTTGGCAATTTTCCTTGTTTGCACTTGCTGTTTCGCACTTTCTAATTAGTACTTGATCTGCCTTCTGAAACTCTTCCCTTGCCATTTTGGTGAAGTCCAAACCTGCACGATTGAAAAGTATCTGGATGGTAACAGTTTGGCACTGGTTTTTAGGGACAGAAATTTCACACAGTGCTTTGAAAGAACTCATTCTGATTCTATTTCAAGTCACGAAGACACCCATTCAACAATTTAGGATTCGACAGTTCATCTATCAGAGGCTGAATTTGTGTGTTTCATGTTGTGCAATTATAGATTTGGAATTGTTTCTCGTGACTGATGAGAGCAACATATTATTCATGTGCATATTTGTCTGATATTTGTTTGTACTCCCAATATGATCTTACAGTTTGAGATATGCATTCAACTCTGAATGTGGTGTGTGTAAAAGATATAGAAATATTTGCTCAATTGTTGTGGTATCATATGTACTAAGTTTTCAGTTATTGAATTCTTATTGTGGCCTAGTGTTTATGAAATTAGATTAACATCATCAAATAAATACAATCCCGTCATTGAAAGTGATATTTGTTGGTTTCCTTATAAAACAAAGTATCCAACAAGACTTCTCTGAAGTACGTGTAAGATACATAAAACTGTTCCAACTTTTCAATCATGGACTGAATAAACTCTTCATCTCGTGTCACAATGACAACTTTAAGGTCTTTAAATGTATATATAACAAAATGACATTCTCTGGCATCACAACAAAACGGTTGTCATTGGACCTGATAAAAAATAGTCATTATTGCTGTCTAGTATCATCACAGCCGGTAAAGGGGCATTTAACCTCCAGTGTTGTTGCTCCATTAATGATTCTGTCTGGTCTACTTGCTAAGTATGGATACTGTGCTGATACAAACATGCCACATGGAAATGTTCTGACACTTGATGTCTCTTCACATACTTGCTGACAGCTATGTGTTCACACTGACATCCATGTTGGAGTGATGGTGCATCAACCTTCTTATAGCACACAAAAGATTTGGTTTAATTCTATCAGTTCTAACTGTGCACTTGCAAATTTTTCCAAAGTTAGAAGAGGTTAAATGGATAAAGTAGTCTTTTATCCATTGCTTGTCCTTGCTTTGTTTCCATGTGTTTCTCTCTATGTCATCAATCTGCAAGTACTATACTGATCATGCTCTTAACACCTCAATTACTATGTCAATTGCAAAATATAACTGGTTCAAATTTTTCTTATTTTTTTTAAAGAAAAGTGTAATTAATTATATAAGCTCCCCAAGTAACCAGGAGGGCAAAAATATCTTAAGAACTCCCTTTCAACCTTATTTTCATTCCTTTGTTTAGATCATAATTTATTTATTGGGACTTTGGTATTTAAAAAATTGACAGGAGTTTGGATTTAAGATGTGAGCAACAAATAAGTCAAATCTGTGTAGTCTTACCATCTGGACAGAAACTATACTGAACAAAAATATAAACGCACGAAAGAATATGTAGATTTATTTTCATATATGGAACTAGAGTATATAGCCAAAAATAACAGCATATTTTTCTCGACAAATAGACATCACTTTGAGAGCATTAGGGGAAGTTTCAATGCATAGTCCAAGAGTTAGGGCATCAAATACACCATGGGGGTCAACATCCTGAGTTCACAAACACCATTAACTTTGCGCAGAGCAGTACACCAGCGGTGCATGGACATCATTAAATTGTAAATAGTGGTCTGAGGGATATTATCCCATACCTCCTGGAGTGCTACTCGCAGTTGGCGAACATTCTCGAGAGCTGGAACATGTTGGCTAAAACGCTGATCCAGAACATTCCACAGGTGTTTGATGGGCGACATATCGCGTGTGGTCGGTGCATGTGGGTGGTTGGTAGTGCTACCAGTGTCTCTGAAGCGTGTTCTCAGATGGCTGACAGTGGAATGATGCACATTCAGGCATGCTGCAACTTCTGTTACCGACAAGCCAGCATTGAGCATGCCAATGCTCCCTCATGATTCTGTGGCAGACATCTGTGGCATGTTGACAAGTGACAGAAATGCACATTTTGGTGTGTCCTTTTATTGCCTAGACTGTAGAGAGTGTCTGTGTATTGGTCATGCAGATTGACTTCCACTCCGTCATGCTCCATTAGTCTTATGGGTGTAAAAACTGAACCTTTAAGTATAGTCACAGGGAGCGGCCAAGTGAAACCAGACCACTATACTTGATCAAAACAAATTCATCAGTTCACAAATAAACCATCCACCTGGGCATATTTCATGATTATCCCTTTTAACTGACCATTTTAGTTTCGTGCGTTTATATTTTTGTTCAGTATACAATTAGGTGGATCAGTATAGTGCCTGGAAATGGCCTTTGTTTCTTTCACCATGCCCTTCAAACTCCCTTCGTAGATGGGTCGATCCTGCTAGATGGATCTAATCGGGTCTTAGAAATGTCTTCCCTACCAAAACACACCAGACTTCTTCATGACCAACTAGTGGTTGACTGGACTGTTTTATTTTTTCCAGCACCTTTCTATATGACATGGTGGCTTCTGGGCAGCAGCTGGTTACATGGGCATGGCTTTTAATAATAAGGAACAGACAGTTAAAGACCAGCGAGAACATCCTTAGCCTTCATCTCATCCAGATATACAACACATGGGATGTGGCAAGTTTTAGGACAAGTTGGATTTACACAGCCAGAGATGGGAAGGTGATAAAATGGTAAGCAGTACATTATTACAATAATATGTCAAACAATTTTAAGGTTACTCAATTGGAACCAATAAATTATATTCTAAAAACATTTGTTTCTTGACTCCAATGTTTTGAAAAATAGGTGTATGATATGATATATAATGTTTGTATCTTGTATTTTTTCAGAACTTTGGCCCACTTCAAGTAGGTTCATGTCCAGCATGGCTTGTTTGTCTTCTAAGCAGAAGAGGAAGTTACATATGGAGAATTCTTAAGATATTCAAGAGAGGCTACAGGTAATAATCAAATAGATTTCCATTTAAATTGACAAAAACCTTGTTTTGGCATTATAAATTTAAATCTTTTATTTCAAATTGCCAGTAAATAATTGAATTGATTTTCTGTAGAACACAGTGTAGGTTGCCCTCTAAGGGCCCATTTCCAATGAAACTACATAGATACTTCCAACTCCACGGGGACTCCTGCTGAATGCAATCAGATTAACATGCCTCCTCCTGGCATTGAGTAAAATACAGAAAAAAACTGTTGATTATATAAGTACCAGTATGTGAAAACAAGAGGAGGTGTGTTAATACAATTGCATTCAGCCAGTCCCTGTGGAGTTGGATTGACAACATAGAATGACAGTTCCATTGGGAATGTGCTCTAAATCATAATAGTGGGCAAGTCTACTTAAGTTTGCATTTGGTTTTGGGAAAGTTACCAACTGCTGCTGCTTTATTGTAGAAATGTTTGTAGAGGTTTGACTATTGTAATTAAGCGCTACTTATTTTGAGAACATTTTTTATGTATTACATTCATATTTATGCTAACAGGTATTCTAATGGGGCCGTACACTATTTCCTTTACAGTTGGCAGAAGAAAGGGATTAGAGTTGTCAAGTGTTTCGAATTTCATCACTGGACTGACGGACATTCAGTTTCTAGGATTTCAGCATGTACCAAATGTCGCATTCTCTTTTGCTGTGGACTCTTTTTTCCATGCCTACAGAAACTGCTGGTATTGTGTGCACGTGCATTGAACTTACGGTTGCCCTTGCAAGAAACATCACAAGAACAACTATTTGAGTTGTGGGCCTTAGCTTTTCTGTCAGCAAACATATTTATATATTATAGAAATGTCCCACACTGAGTGTGTTGTTAGTGTAGTTTATCTGTTAGAATTGGATTGAGATTATTAGCATGTTTTTATTCACTGAAATGAACCTTCAATAGTTGTGTGTGTGTGTGTATGTGAGAGAGAGAGAGAGAGTGGTAAATTAAGAACTTTCAAATGGAAACGGTGAAGGTTTTGAAAGCCAGCTTGGCATATAATTATACACACTGTGCATGATGTCAGTCTGTAAACACTGACAAGTTGAGAAGGTTTTGTTAGATATTTCTTAAAATAAGCCTGATTATATACCCGGGTACATAAACAGTATCTTTTAAGAGTATATACTGCAGTACATTGACAGCAGACAATCTAAGGGTGTTTTAAGTGTGTGCCATATTTGATCTGCAGCTAAGTTCTGAAAACCAAGAAAATGGAACCAAGGTTCTTCTCCATTATTCCATGCACCATTATTCAGGCAAAATGCCTGCTTTGAATTCAAAGATCCAAGTTTGTATATGATGTGACGTCAAAATTTAAATACCAAATAAATATTCTAGATATTTCAATAATGTGTTTTTATTTGTTCCTTTTATGGATTACATTTTTATTATAAATAAAAACATTTTTATTTATTTTATTTTATTTTTACACTCATGTCTAATGAAATGCAGATAGAGAAATTTTTGCTTTCAGAAAAATTGATAAGATGGTAGTATTTTTTTATTTGAAAAATAACATGTTAAAGCATATATGCACCTGATTTAAGGTTGCCTCTAAGTTCTGTTTAAGCTCATAATTGAGCCTTTTTAAAATTTTATAATTAATAGCCAATCCTTAAAGTTTTTGTTTTTTCATTCAGTCCCTTTTCTTATATTCAGTAAAGTATTCAATAAATGTATAAATGCCTCAAATAGATAGTTTAAAAGCCGCGTATCTTCTTTCCCTGGATGGGGGGGGGGGAGGGGTTGTCTTAGGGGGAATAATCCAAAACAGTCGGTATTAACCAAACTATATTATGTTTTACTTTGAATTAACTGAGTGTCCCTGTTTGGTAAATAGTAAGATTCATGTCTAAATTGAATTCTTTGTATATTGTTCCATTGTTTTATTCCGAGTTGTTTATAAAGTTACATAAAACCACAAAATGGACATACGTTGTTGCCTTTAATAACAAAAAACTTTTTTTAATCGAGGCTTCCGTAGGAACAGAGGGTGTGGTATAACATACTGTAAATTACGTGTACTTGTTGTGGTGTGAGGTGTTCAGTTTGGACCAAGGTCAGTGAAAGAAGCTTATGCCACAGTGCTGTTATTTCCACAATCGGCCCTCATATTTAGCGGGAGCTATCTGTTGTAAGTACAGCGCAGACGAAGTTTTATAGCCCATTACAATTGAAATTATTGATTGATTATTGATCCGGATCACCACCAAAAACAAATCATCTCTTCCTTGACCCACTTCTGACAGTTCCTGAAAATTTCATCAAAATCGGTCTATAACTTTTTGAGTTATGTTGATGACAATCAAACAGCCAAACAAGGGTGGAAACAAACTCCTTGACGGAGGTAAATATCGGTCTACACTATTCCTCCTTTTTCCAACGTATAATCACCAATCTTCTGTGTTCTTTCCAACCCAGGAAGATGTGTGTTAATCTTAAGTAAGTTACCCTATTATTCCATAGTCTATTAAATTGATGGCATTCAAAGTGAGTTGGATCGATTTACGTAGACCGATATTTACAATGGGTATGAGCCCATAGCCCCATTGGCCAGGGGGACATTATTAGTTTCCGAGGAGAACGATACCTTCTCTTAAAAGTCTGAGTTTAGTTTGTTATCAGTAATTTTTACAAGAGAAAAATATCTGCAAATTAAAAAGCAAGAGCCCCAAGGATCAACCGAAGGATCCTAGTTATTACAGAATTAAAATTTAGGGGTGAAACGGCATTGGGTGGAGACTTTGCTGCCTTGGCGGAGGTCTGCACTCTCGGAGTGGTTTTCTAGTTTTTAATATAAATAAATCTGCAGTAGATTCTCCGTGTCATTGCAAAGTCTCGCTCGGTACTCCAAGCACTATCGGTATCGGATTTATCAAACATTGTCGAAAATTCAGAAAATGAACAATTTTCAATATAGTTTTTCGATATATACATTTTTTAAGACAGTTGTATTAACAAAGTACTTTTGTCTTTAAACCAGATACTACTGTTATTTTAAGCATATAAAATTAATTTAATCTACATGAAACCGACAGAAACAATAGATAAATAAGTTGCATATTGAAAGAGAAAGGGAAAACTTGGATTTGAATGATTATTTCTATTGATTATGACAGACGTTTTATCTTAAATATTTCATTAAGTGAAATCGACACGTGGTTCCGAGTAAAGACATGCGTCCGAATAAATCTGTAGTAGAGTAAACAGTTTGTTTCAAAGAGTCAGCTACTTCAAATTAAAACATAACACTTGAGGGAAGTATTGAAGCAGCCGGTGGTTTACTGCAGTCTCCTAGCTATTAATTGTCAACAATATTGCGGACGCTGCTGTTTGCGGTCAGCTGTTCTTCAGCCAACACTTCCTGTCATGACGAAACGGTGAAGATGTTTGGTCAAGACAAGTCTCAGTAGAGCAAGTTTTAGTGAATGTTTGCGGAAAACATAGATCTAAGCTTTTACCATTACAAACAGAATTGCTGACTTTTGGTAATTTTGATTAATACATTGATTGAACGAAGAGACGAATAGTAAAATCAGAATTTTTTTCTTTATTTATTTTTGCCTGAGCAATATCTAAAATTTGAGAGGCGACCATATGAGTTGGAAACTCATTCACGTAATAGTCAGAGAGCCAACTAAATTCAAATAAACGAAAGTATAATTATAGTAGATAAATAATCAAATAAATAAATAAATGTAGTAGTTAATAACACATTAATATGATACAAAATAACTAAATAATTTTAAATAAAATTCCAAGATATAGAAAAATAAGTTAAATAAAATTGTTAGGAGCTTTCACAGCAACCAAAATTGCAGGAAGACAAAATATCGAGGATATTCGTTCTGATGACTTAAAAGGCCAGTCATGCTGCTAATTCTTTGGTCCACGTTTCTGAAATGAAATAGATTAAAAATAGTTCATTCAATCTGAATAAACAGTTCAATGTGAGCCACGTTGGGGGGTAATACAACTGACCACGGAAGAGTTTTACGAAGTAAAAAGCAATTCATCAAAAAAAGTGCATTAAACAAAACTATGCTACAATGGGTTAGAGCTATCCTGGAGATTTCATTGAAAAAAATTAAATGTACGCATGATCACATCTCATAATGTGGTGTCGCCTACCAGACTAATCTGTCAATCAGATCCCTGAAGACATACTCCGTGTCTGTGAAAATGATGGTGTCTTGGAGGATTTTTCTTCTGGCTTCTGCTCTGGAAGGCACATCAATCCAAAGTGGGTGTCTAAATTAATTAGAAAAAAATGATCACAAACTGCTCTCGATCACTTCATACTATTCTTACATTAGAAAAAATTCCCCCCTTTCGATTTCTGGTCCCCTCTTGAAATTAATCATAGTTCTAAACCGTACCAAATGGCAGTAGAACCGTTTGCCCTCTAAAATACCAATATTTTTCGTGGCTTTTCATCGGGCGCCGAGTCCCACGCCAAGCGGGGGGTCGGGGGTGGGGGGGTCGGCTTCGCATCCGCGGACCCCCCCCCCCCCCTTCAAATAATCCTGGATCCGCCCCTGACATGTATTGTCCCAAATGTCAGTGTGATTATAAGATTTGAATATATAAAATGACAAGATGAATTGGGCCTACACCTAACAAGCAAAACTACAGCACTGTCTCCACGGGTGGGCTGCATGAATAGCGAAACTCGTCAGTCACGGCAACCGTGGGTGTAACACCCCTAGTTAACTCAACTGTACGTACTCTACCCCCGGCTTAATTGGTACTTTGTGTTGGTCTTAAGTATCATCGAAAGTGTGGGAAAATTGTCTTTTACCCAAGAAAATTATGTTTTTGGCCAAAACGAGCAGATGTTCGTTTAAATATCGGCAGGTAACTTAAATCCAGGCCGGTATAACAGAAATTGAAGTCCGCAAGAAACTGTAGTCAGCTTCCCATTACTTTGTACAGGTGTGACAGGAATGGTAGTCCGCTAGAAACCGTAGTCCGTTCTCCATTACTTTGTACAGGTGTAACATAAATGGAAGTCCGCTAGAAACTGTAGTCAGCTTCCCATTACTTTGTACAGGTGACATTTGTATACTAACCCTAATTCTCCAACTAACCCTACCCTGTACTAATCATATGGGACCTCGGATTTTCATTCCTAGTATAGTCGTTCCTGTTATGCCCCTATTTCACGCAGACCACGAATCGCCATGAATTGACAAATTTCAGGATTCGTGGTTGAATCGTAATCAGTACGTGAAGTTCTTAACAGATTCGTATATAATCGTAGTCAGTTCTCGCAATTCTTGCTCAATCGGGAATTCGTGGCAAAAATTTTCTCCCGATTCCAAAATGAATTTCTGGACAATATTCCAGCCGAATCCCACGAATATTCGTAACAATATCGCACCTGTATCGTAACTGAATCGTACAGCGTGTCGAATTAGACCAGAATATTGGCAAAATCTCACGAATCCTCACGAATTCTGAAATTTGTCAATTCCTGGCGATTCGTGGGATTCGTGGTCTGTGCAGTGATCCACTGAAAAAAATGTAGCCTAACTGTCAGTCTTTTAAGAACTGGACGCACTGTTAATTACCTTGATACAAAGTTTACTTCATCTTCCGAATTAAGCGTTTTTGTAAATACATGTATATCTTATCAATCCTTATTTATAAACTTTTATTAAATTATGAGTTGTCAAGTGTAATGAACATTCTGTAAATTTTATACGGGAAATAAATACATTGTGGTTTATTAATTTTAACATGTTTGCCATTTATCTGAGAACTACTGCAGATTAATTTATCTTCGGTCAGCTCAATTTGAGCTCAATTTTACTGCGATGCATAGCAGTCCTTAAGAAGATATTTTGTTACTTAACACATTTGCTTGGTATAGGGCAGGAGTTTTCTGTACACAGGGTACTTTATAATTTGATGTTCGAGCTTAAATCTTGCAGGGAGCAATGATACCATACATTGTACACGGGTACTTGCATATATCAAAGGACACAATGAAGCAATATCTACAGGCAAACTTCGTTTTATTTTAATATTGTAATGCGTATAATGATATATGATGACCGTTGAAACTGTTAATCTAACGAGAGTTCATTTACAATCTTGGCGGCGATTTTGCATTTATGTAGTCATTTCATTTTCAGAAGCCCATGCAGAAGGTAGATTCCAAAAAGTTTATACCATATAATGAAAAATCTACAGTACTACAATCTCTATATAGAAACCGTTTCCAGTGTGACTGTCAGCAATGCCTAGGAGCCTTTAGATAATAAAAGACCGGGAATTGCCTGGTAAA